AGGACAAGAAGTAGGATCTTTTGCCATGCTTGGTGGTGCTATTTCCATAACTGCATTTATTCTAGGATAAAACCCACCCTCTTAAAAAAAAAAAAAAAAAAAACAAAACCCTAGCAATGGCCTCTGTTCTAACCTTAATGGTCAACTTGACTAGACAAAGACTCCTGGAGGGCTGACTGAATCATGATTAATCCACTGATGTTCATAGCCGAATGTGCTACTAGAAGGCAGGCACACTGGTGGAGGAGGTGGGTGCCGGGGCACACGGCCTGCGAGGCTCTGTCTCTCCTGGGCACTCTCCCCTGCTGCGCTTCCAGCCCCCACTGAAGGGAGCAGCTTTGTCCTGCCACTCCCTTCTACCACTACATTCCTGCCCTGGAGCCAACGCCCATGGCTGAAACCAGGAGCCAGTTAAAGCCGTCCTGCTTTAAACTGCAAAAGTTGGGTATTTGTCTCAGCAGTGGGAAAGGTGACTAATACTCTCGCCTAGATCTGGTTCTTCCAGGCTCATTTCTTGTTATTGTTGGAACAACTGTAATTTCAAAGACCCTCTTCTGAGGCTGAGTCTCCATTCAAACCTCCGAACCCCAATTTTGTTCCTTCTCACTATAGAAAAAATGGAAAGGAAAATGAAAATCTTAGACTTTAAATTCTGGTTTGTCAGTCAATCCATAAAAGTGTTTTTGACCTCTCAAATGTTGCTACTCAAACTGTGGATCAAAACAAGGAGGAAAGACATCACCTGGGAAATGGGCACAAGTGCAGTCATGGGCCCTTCTGGGACTCAGAGAATAGCAATCTTCATTGAACAGGATCACAGGGAGATTTGCAGCCCCTAAAGCTCTTAGGGTGACAGCATCCCTGCTAGTCAAGATGTGTTACTGCAACCATTTTAACCTGATGCAGGATATAGAAAAAATGTCCTCAGTGTGAACTTGCTATGCAGATCATAGTGCTGTCCCTTTTTCCTTCAAAAAAGAGTTTAAAATTCTTCCTTTAATGGAGCACAATGAAAAATCAAAAGAAATACCATTCAAGACGTCCAAAATTTGACTTTTAATTGCAGCCTATGTCAGATCACTTTATTTCTCTAAGGCTCAGTTTCCTCTGATAAAAAATAATATTATTTGCCTTTGTTTATTCAGACTACTATAACAAAATACTTCAAACTGTGTTTGTTTGAAATAGGGTCTCTCTATGTAGTCTAGGCTGATCTTGAACTCATGATCCTCCTGTTTCATATGCTTCAGATTACAGGCATGCATCACCGTGCCTGATTCAAGACCAGGTAATTTATAAACAACAGAAATTTATTGTGTATAGTTTTAGAGGCTGAAGTTCAAGGTCAAAGTACCAGTGGATTCACCATCAAGTGACAACTGTTCTTTGTAAAGGGGCCTTATGTGTGTCTTCACGTGGTAGAAGGGTGGAAGCTCCCCTGGGCCTCTTTTGCAAGGGCTCTAATCCTTGTCGTTATTACTATTGCATTGGGTATTAGCTTTCAACCCAGCAGAGTGGCTGGAACTCAAACTCAGACCATCGTATCATCTTCTTTGTCCACGGGGGTGATGTTTCTGGGACTGGGACATGGAAGGGGTTGACACAGCTAAGAAAACAGACTCCAGAATAAGCAAATCCAAGCACCAAGTCTGTGGCTTGCCCGTCTTAGCTGAGTAACTTGAGTACGTAGCTTGTCCTCCCTAGAGCGGAAGTAGCTCTCCCATGAGGTGGTTGTGCCGATTAAATGTTATAACATTTTAAGTGCAAATGGCCCTCTGTAGGAACACAGAAGGCAATCAGTAAGGGCTCTTACTGTGGGAAAGAAGTCACAAAGGGAAGCGCTCTGCAGATGTGACAGTTGCTTCCCAGGCAGGTACCCAGCCATGAGCCACGGATGGGGATTAATGACATTGCCAGGAACTCAGGAAAAATGCCCCAAACTTGGGGGGCATTGGCCCTGAAACATACACACAGGGTTACCTGGGCCTTCAGGACCTCTCCATTCGGCAGAGCCAGCAACCCACTGCACTTTGTAAAACCCCACAAATGCTCATTGTGAGCACGGATCGTCTTCTGCTTACAAGAGTTAACTGTTAGGAAGTACTGCTGCTTTTTTCAGTTTCACAGAGAGGTAAGGGGGCACCAACGTGCTAACAGAATTCTCTCAACTTTCCACTCACCTGTATAACACTCGTTTTGTGCAAATTAGAGAAACTGATTTGAGAAATCACCACGTGCTTTACATAGATAATCACATTTTCTCTACACAGCAACCTCATGAGTTAGATACTAATAGCAACCCCATGTCACACCTAGTAAAACTGAGGCCCCAAGAGCTGGAGATTTGCCCGGAGCCACACAACTGGGAGCAGGTGAAGCAGGACTCTGAAAGGGCGAGATTCCAAAGCCATTGCTCTTTCTTCGCATGAGCTGACCTTACTTGAATGTTTGGTTTCCGACAAGGTCCAGTGCGCTGAATACTAGAGAGAGTGGAGGGTGAGAACCACCAGGGAGATGATCCTGTTGCATAGCAACCCTGTGCTTGAGCGTGGTGAGAGGAGATAGGCTCCTTAAGTTTTGAAAGCACCATTACTAAAAATAGCCTCAGATATGACAGATACACTCGAAGTCTCTTCTGAGGAGAAAAATGCATTTTCCACAACTGGATGTCTTTGCTGTGTTGTCCTCGGGGAAGCATAAGATTATACGGTGGTGGATGTCTGCAGCTTTTCTCAGTACACACACTGCTCTGGTCCACCCACAGGTGAGGGTACCACCATTCCTAGACACGGGAGATACATATCTCCTTATCTTTCCTGCTCGCCATCCCTGGAATTCGATCCAGGCTGGAACAAAGGCTCTCTGCTTGATCGCAATACGTGGCCTTTGGCTTCCTCATATCAACCTTGCAGTAATTAATCAGCCTGGTTGGAACCACCTGAGGTGCATCTGCTTCTCATGCCTCCATTTATCACTCTGGGAGAGCTCATGCCAATTACAGTGGCACCAGCTAGAAACCACAAGCCTTCCAAATATTAGATATTTAATTAGATCTTGGAGATGCTCTTCACCTAGTACCTTCAGGGTCTCTGGGTCCTCTTTTGAGGCTGATAATTAAACCAAACACTCAGCCCTAAATCCTATGTTCTCTTGGGGGAACATGCCCATCAGAGTAATTATAAAGCCCGAATAGTGACCTGGCTTGCACAAGTACAAAAAAGCCACAAAAAGAAATGTAGGACTCCCAAGCTAGCTGGCTACTTAGTTTTATTCAGCTATTCCATAAATATTTAGTAAGGCAGAATAATGGCCTCCCCAAATGTCCAGCTCCTAATCCCCGGAATTTGTAAATATGTTTAACTACACGGCAAAAGGGAATTAAGGTTGGAGATAGAATTAAGAGCACAAATCCACAGGTTTTAAGGTGAAGAGATTAGCCTGGATTATACAGGGGGCCTGGGGTAATCACAAGCGCACCTAAAGTGCAGAAGGAGGCCGGAGATTCAGCGGTTTCTTAGACTAAGAGAGAAAAGTGCAGAATTGTGACTCTGCAGGCTTTGAAGACAGAAAGGGGAGCCCCGGGCCACAGCACAAGGACAGCTGTAGAACAGAGCAAGGTGCAGGTTCACCCTTGGAACACCCAGAGCCCCCAGCAATGCCAACACTCTTATTCTAGCCTGCTAAGGCCCCTGTAGGACTTCTGACCACCAGGAACTCTGAAAGGATAACTGTTGTTATTTTAAGTCACAACGTTCACTGCAGTTTGTTAAAGGAACAAATGTAAACTAATACCAGTGCCTACTTAAACGCTCAGTTAATAGCTCTGTGCTGAATCCCAGGGACACAACAATGAAGATGACAGCTATGAAAATCAAAGAGAGGTGGACAGCGAGATGGTGCAGGCAGCTTGGACTTGGGCGGTAGTCACGAAGAAGGTTCAAGATGTATTTTGGAAGTAGAACTCAACAGGCTTGGGGAAGGACTGCATGCAAGACGCAGAGAAATAGCACCCCTTTGTGGCTGGGGTTTGCTTTTGTGGCACTTCTATGGTCCTCTGAGGCTTGGAGGAGATGACAGGTAGGACACAGTCCTGTCCTGCATTGTGGACGAGTAGTCAACTCTTACATGTGTGTTTAGTCAAGAAGTATTCACTGAGTTGTGCTGATGAAATAGGCACTGCCTGGGGCACAGCTGTGAGCTTCCACCAAGCTTCTCCTCGGGGGCTGTGTCCTAGTGCCAGAAAGAGGACTTCAGAATCAACTTAAAAAGGTAGAGCAGAATGCAATTTCAAGTAGCCCCAGGCTGGACATGGCTGAGGATTGCAGATTACTACCTTAGGGTGAAATTCCTGGTGAATTTATAGAAGCTGTGAATTCATCATCCAGCCTAATTAAGAGCTAGAGGTGTTAATTACACTTTTGACATGAAGGGCAGTAACTGCAGTGAGGTTTTGCCACATGTCCATGTCCTTCGGCAGTTCTTTTTTCCCATCAGAAAGGTGAATGGAGCTGGGGAGAATGCTTTTTTCCCCTGCAGTGCTGGAGATTGAACCCAGAGCTTCACATGTGCTAAGCAAGTACTCCACCACTGAACTACACCCAGCCCTTCTTCATTCTTATTTTTAAATAAAGTCTCATTACATTGGCCAGGCTGGCTTTAAACTCAAGATCCTCCTGCCTCAGCCTCTCGCCTAGCTAGGGTTCCAAATGTGCACCACCATCACACCTGGCTAGGGTGCATTTGTGTTTAGTAAAAGGAAAGTGGAGATAAGAATAAAGACGAAGGGATAGAGGCAGAGGGAGAGAAATGGGTAGAAGTGGCACCAGCATGCCTCAGCCAGCACCAGCCTAATAGTCATGATGGGATGGCGGCACCCAGATATTTTTATTCTGAGTCAGGTCTTCACTAAATTGCTCAGGTAGCCTTGAATTTGAGGTCTTCTTGCCTCAGCCTTCTGGGATCACAGGTGTTCCACCACACCTGGCTGGGATCACAGGTGTGGGTCCATACCAGACTGCGTGGCAGCACTGTTTCTCAGTACCACCTAGTATCCTCTTCCTTTATGTCTACAAAAGGAAGAAGTAGTAAGTCCAATTAGGCTAAGAAATTCACTCTCAACAAACATGCCCGAGCCACATTTGTATAGAATGTTTAACCTCCAACTCATTTTTTCCTTTGTACTCAGACTTTACTAAAATTGGTAAAACCAGAAAAATGCTGCTTCCTAAACTGTAGCTTTACCAGCCAAAAATGAGTAGATAAATCAAGTAGATAAAACCTTCTGAAATTTCTTTGTGTTAAAAAAAAAAAACAAAAACAGAAGAGTAGCTATGTATGGTGGCACACATCTATAATCCTCCTGCCGCCACCTGTTCAGGAGACTGAGGCAGCAGGATTGCAGGTTTGAAGTCACCTTGGGCAGTTTAGCCAGACCCTTTCTCAGAATGAAAAAAAGAGGTAAAAAGGTCTGAGATGTAGCTCAGTGGCAGAGTACTTGTCTGACATGTAAGTGGTCCTGCGTTCAATCTCTAGTACAAGAAAGAAAGAGGAAGGAAGGAAGGAAGGAAGGAAATAAAGGGCAAAATGCAAATACATCACAAACACAAAAATATGTTAGGGTTTGGGCTCCTGGTCATCACAGGAACCTGCCAGTATTCAGCTCAGGCCTCTCATATCAGAGGTATAAATGCCAGTTTGATAAAATAGATTAATCAATATATTTAAGCAATGACTTCATGATTTAATAGTGTAACTTTACAACTATTGTGTACAAAGTAGTTCTTTTCCTTGCAGCAATAACTGAAATATTTTTAGAGTAAAGATACTTACCATCTATTGATAGAGTGGGAATGAGTGAAATCAGTGAAACATCTGAAATGAGTGAAAACATCTATTAAGCAACCACAACTAAGTATATAGCACTAAGTGTCACTGTAATGAAACACCTGACACCCACAATGTAAAGGAGCAGAGCTCTAACTGGCTTATGGTTTCAGAGGGTTCGTCCATGGTTAGTTGGCTCCCAGGTAGAACTATCATGGACAAAGGTGGGTGGAGCAAAGATGTTCTCTTCCTGGAGGCAAACAAACAGAGCAAGGGAATAGAGCCAGAGGCCAGATATATAGTCATCCATTGGTTCTCAATTGCTTTGAAACTTGTTGAATTTGGTATTGAGGCTCTTGAAAATTTTGTTTGGTATTCAATATGAAAGTTAGAACTTATTGGTGTCAGTTGTCTTGTGACTTGGTACCTTTTCTACCCACAACTATTTAATTTGTACTGTCACCCTTCCTAGAACCAATTAATGATGAGCACCAATATATCACGGCAGTCCCCAAGGTCACATAGGTCAAGGTCAAGTTCTCATGACCCACCCAGACAGACCCAGAAGTTTGCTTTGCTAGTTCCCTAGTCTGTTCTCAAAACAATCAAGTTAATAATCCAGTTTAACCAGTACACTGTGCTAGGTGAAGATAACACAAGATCTATATGACAATGAAATCTCCGGGTTTTGATAGGTTTCTGTACTGGAGAGCAAGGAGATAGAAGTAAAAAATGAAAATGATGATATTTGTGATGCTTTACCTAGAACTTAGCTATACTGTTTGATGTGGTTACATTTCATCTACCCTATGAGATAATCATGGTTTTATACACATTTTACCAATGAAAAACAGAGAGATTAAGCCTCCTTCTCCAAGTCACACAGGCTACAAATAGTAGAATCGAAAGTCAAATCCCTGACACATACACTGGAAAATCCTCCTTCAATGCAAACTCCCTGCTGCGCAGGTAACACACACAGAAAATACCAGTGAGTATAAATTCCCTCTCTCCCTGCAAATTCCATGATAAACACATTGAAAAAGTCAGCAGCAATTCACCCAGAAAGATTCCTACTAAATTACTGTAAGGAGAAAGGGTAATTTCTTTCAGAATTCGTAATTACTATCATTGTTGTTATTATCATTATGTTAAGTAAGTTTAATAACATAATCCCAGCTTTCACTGGTAAACACAAACCAACTCAAGCTTCCTCCCACTAAAATGCAACTTTCTTTTAACAATTTCAAGTAATTTTTTGAAAAAAAAAATATATAGCCTGAAGAAACTTTATGATATATACTGTTTAATGACCATGCTGGATGCAGAACTGTGTACGCTAGAATACTCTTCAGTTTGCACATAGGAAAGATCCTTTTAAAGTGTTTGTGTTTAAATTTTTTAAGTTACAAAAATATATAAATACTGTAGTTATTTCTGTGTGATGGTGCTTGGAATTACTTCTATTTTCACTTTTAGTGATCCTTTATTTTCCAAGGTTTCTAGAAGGATTTATAGTATTCCTCTATTGGGAAAACTCTAATCTCTAAATCTACACACACACATCTATGTACATACTATTCAAAGTCAAACAAAATTAAACTGATGTCGTAGATTATTTTCACATGTATACAAATCCATATGATATATTGTAGAATCAGAAAATATCAAGCATTTTTCCACTTGATTACATCTAAACTGCGACTTTATTAACATGATGGAAGAGTCTTTCCTAGGCCAGGAGAGTGTGAAATAGGCCTTTCTCCCTTAGATGAATGATTTTTACCGGGAGTCACAAACATAATGGGAAAAATGCAAACACACCTTAAAGATTTCCTCTCCTTTTCACAGAAGTCCAGAGTAAAAGAGAAGAGAGCGATCCTAGCAGAAAGGAAATATAAAAGGTAGAATCTCTCACCCTCTGGGTGAGACTGATGGGAAGAAACTGATAGAAGGAAAGGGATAAATTTTGTGGTTGTTATACCCCAGTTTCCAAATGTCTGTAAAATCAGGTCTTCTCTTGCCTGCTGAGAGGAAGGCAAGACTTTCCATCAGGGTCCAGCAGGTCCAACAGCCACAGCTTGGACATGTGCACGTGCTACGGGCTCAGTCACCCCCAGTCCTGACAAGGCTGGTGCCAGTGTGGTTCTAATCCTTTCAAAACAGCTTTGAGAGCAGGGAGCAGGAAATTCAATCACCTGAAGATGAAGATGATGGGTGTTTGTTTGGCTGCATAAGCACAACAAGAATCCTCTAATATTCCAAGATGTGAGCATCACAGGCAGGAATGCCCTAGCTACAAGAGCTATGATATAGGCCTGCTAGGATAGCACCCAAGGGTCCCAGCTCCTTCTGCACACAGCTGTAGGGAAGCTGTGAGCATAGTGAAGCTGGTGACGAGAACTGGATGTTATCACTGTGGTTTAGATGATGACATCTGGGACCATGATCTTGGATGTAAAAATGGTGTAATAATGGGATTAGACTCTGTTGGGAGCTGCTGGAGCTGGTTATTGGTCATGTGTGTGAGGGCGGGACAGAGCCAGAGTGCCTCAGGCAGTAAAGCTAGCTTAGTATTGAAAAAAGTATCCTGCCTGGACAATCACAGTCATTAGTCGCTAGGCAACATTATCTCCCATGATACTAACTTTGCAAGTGTATAAAATAAACGCCCCTACTGTTGAAGTCAGTCCTCATGCTTATCAGGCAAGAGGTAACTCCATCTGACCCCAGCTCTTGTCTCTTGTCTTTATTTTTCTCATACCAACCACCATTTCTCTCCAAGGTACAATGAGAGACCAACGAGGTTCCCTTACAGATTCTTGGGAACCATGGGAAGGAGTTAGAGTTACTTGTCTAGGTCAAGAGGACAGACTATGGTAGCTAGAGTTCAAAAATCCTTGCACCCATCAGTGAATACATTTTATCACCCCTCTTCATGGTGAGAGATGTGGACTAGCACACCAGTGACCAGCTTACTAATCAGTGGGTTTCAAATTAAACAGAAGAGATTGTCCCAAGTCCCAGATGCTTTACTCCAGTGAGCCACAGTAGGAAGGTGAAGGATCACTGGTGTGATCTTGCTGGCTCAAAGGTGGAGCTGTGTTGTAAGGGGGACACCTCTAGCAGCTCAAAGCAACCTCTGCCACCAGCTCCCATGAAAATGAAGACCTTCAACCCTCTGTGCCAGGACTGAGCTAGCGGAGGAGCCCATCTCCAGCTAATGATCACAGACTTCTGGGCTCTAAGCAGAGAGCCAGAGGGCCATGCCGTCTCTCCTAACCCTGGAAATCACAATGATAATGTAGATCATTTTAAACCACTAAGTATGTGGTGATGGCTTGCACAGCAATAGAAAATATAAACTCTTAACATGCCAAACACAACATTAACACTTGGGATTGACTGCTTATGTTATAATCAAGTCACACTTGTCAGTTTTATAGCCAAGGCTCCCATGACATTAGGGATAGTTTGGTGACCTAAACGAACAAAATAGAGTGTTTCTCTTAAGTGGAATTTTCTCTAGAAATCCTAGTCTCCCAAAGCAAGGGTTTCCCCAGGTACTCCTGGGGATGATAAATAGTGTGTATGGATCAGAACAAATATCTCCCTAAATCAAATGTAGTACATGAAACTTAATTTGTCTGCAGTTTACTGCTAAGAAAACACTCAGAAGCATAGCCTAGATTGCATTTTTTAAAGTAAATAAAAATGCACCCATTTTTAATTTTGTGATGTTCAAAGGAGAATATCTTGGCTAATCTTCAGAGGGTTTCAGTGAAGTCTTAATTTAAAGCATCCTTGAAAAGACTTGGTGAAATTCTGATTATAATTACCACTCAGGAGTCCTCATGGAGCTGTAATAGGGTCAAAGGTGATGGGAACATTTGGAAAGCTGGTTCGAGGCACTCCCATAGCCAAAAGGATAAGATAGCCCTGCTACTACCACCACTTCATCCTGATGAAGCAGCCTGGATTACGTCCTCATGGTCACCCACATTACCTATCAAACACTTAAAGGATTCTGTTTCAAGAAAAATAGGAAAGTGTACTGGAGGAAGTAAAGATAGTTCCTTTTTCCCAAAAAATATTTTGTGCTAATCTTTATCCATTCTTATTAGTGCTGACATTTGTCTTACAGTAAATGACCAGGAATGTCCCAAGTCAGTTTGTGGAAGACAACGAGGAACAGCGCAGACAGTGGGGAACTCAGGGGAGCCACTAAACACCTACAGCTAACCAACGCCATGTTCTGATCTCCATCTTTCTCTGCACAGGACTAAAAATTAACATTCCCAAGCTTCACAACCAGAGTCTATTCACTTGGTCTGTTGTAGGCCTTTGGAATCTTCATTTTACCAATCCTTAGGTCACCCTTGTCCCTCAAACTATAGCAAGCACTACAGTTGCAAGCTGTGCGTGTTACTTTAAATCTTCCAGTTGACACATTTAAAAGCAAAAAAAATTTTAACAGTACATTTTATTTCACCTCGTGTCTATCATTTCAACATGTAATTATTAACAAGATCACAAATTTTTTAAGACTTCAAAAATTTTTATGCGTTTTACACTGACAGCCTACCTCGATTCACACTAGCTGTATTTCAAGTGCGTCATTTTTACTATAGCAAGAGAATTCTTCCACATTCAGTCTTATGGAAATTCTACTTAGGCTAATTTCCATTGCTGACATTTAAGCTGCTCAAAGTCAGTGTATTTGGCCAGTATCAAAACCACTCTTAAAACTTAAAATAGCAGGCCCAATCCCAGTTCTGCCTCAAATTAAACAATGTGAACTTGGACAAGTGACCCCTTCACTCATCAGATTCTTAAATTTGCCAGCAGTAGGTTTTTTACTTGGACAAGATCTTAGAGACCTTTCTGTGACTCACTAAAGCTAACAAAGGTATTATCTACTGACTACATCAAAGAAGAGGGTTTGCTTTGTTCATCTTATTCCCTTGTGGTGCTTCTGAGCAAAAGCTACAGCAGGAATATGGAGTGTCCCCTCCTGAAGTCACACTGCAGTTTACTCCACCTTAGCGGGTAGGAGGGTGGACATTAAATATGACTATGGTGTTTAGTGCTGCGCCTTTGGGAGGTGATTCGGAATACACAAATCCATCAGGGTAAAGGTCACCCCCATGACTGAGTACTGGTGGCTTTTAGAAGAGGGAGAGTCAGTCTCAGACTCTCTCACTCTCTCTCTCACTCTCTCTCTCTCTCTCTTGATGCCCTGTATTGCCTTGGAACTCTACCAGCAACAAACAAGGCCATCACCAGATGCGCCCCACCTGCCCTCGGACTAACTTAACTGTGAGCTGAAATATTTCCTGTCTTTTCCCTATAATTTATCCAGTCTAGAGCATTCCAATATCAGCATCAGAAAGCTGACTAATGCAAAGAGTTAAAGGTGAGTCACTGAGGAACTACTCAGTCCTTGGGGCAGCCAAGCACATAGCTATAGCTGCACAAATCTGCACCAGCTGACAAGGGGCTCACATCTGGGAGAACACAGCTACAGGAAGAAGTGCTGCTGTCAGTTTGACGCCCACCTTTGACAAAGCTGATGACTTAATGCCGTCACATTACTTAAAACTCTCATGTGAATTAGATCAGTGGTGATCATTCAAATCTTACAAACAAACCCCCAAAGTCAGATGCTTAGAGCAAAAGTGTTTTTCACTCATACCACATGTGCAGTGTGGGTTAACACTGTCTGGGGTGAGTTGAATTGTGCCCTTCCAAAGCTCACATACTGAAGCCCTAATCCCAAGTAACTCAGAATGTGACCTTATTTGCATATGAAGTCATTGCAGATGCCATTAATTAAGATGGTGCCAACTGGACTAGGGTGGCCCCTATCCCAATAAGACCAATGTCCTTGCAAAGGGAAGGGTTCAAGATGGATGCATACAGAGAGATGCCCTATGCAGATGAACGCAGAGGTTAGGGTGAAGTTTCTATAAGCCAAATGTTGACAGCAAACCACAAGAAGCTAGGAGAGAAGTTTCTTCCACACAGTCATCGGGAGGAACCAAGCCAGCCAGCGCCTGGGTCTTGGACTTGGACTGCTCACCTCCAGAACTACAAGATACATTTTTGCTAGTTAAGCTGCTCTAGTGAAGTTAGCCCTGCGTGTCCACAGGAGGCTGAGATAATGAAGACTTTGCTATCTGTTGCCACGTGCAACTTACAGCCTTTTCAGAAATACAGCCCTGGGAGGAGGTGGCTGGACGGCTCTGTGCTTTAACCCGGAAGTGACACGGACCACTTCTGTTTGAAGTCCAAGGAGGGCTGACAAATGCTAACTGCAGGGCTGAGAAACCGGGAGGGTGTGCACTGTGCATCATGACCTCTGGCACCCTTCCCAAGACATCCTTCCCAGAGCCTGAAACACTTAAGAAAAACCTACTTTGTAACTGGGCATGGTGGTGCACACCTATATTTCCAGCACTCTGGGAGAGCGAGGTAGGAGGATCACAAATTCAAGCCCAGCCTGGGCAACTTGTCAACTTATTCCCACAATTATGGGGGTTGGAGGGAAGATAAGGACCATGGGCAATGCTTCTGTCTGAGTCAGTACAGAAAAGAGGTCAAAAGATCTGATTTCGGCCCCAAATAACATCACAATCTCTCCCCACATGTGTATATCTCTTTATGGACTGCTTTTACTTAGGTTTTGACAGAGGATAGACATCTCAGAGGAAGAGGAGAAAAAGCTCCATAGAGGTGAAATGGTTTTCCCAAACTCAGGTGGGTTCAACGGCTTTGGAAACCAAGATTAGAGCTCACATTTTCCGGAGGTCCCCAGAAGGCCCTTACCGTGACTCCAGCACAGACACTTGGCTTTCTCAGCCCTGGGAAGACTCTTGAGACAGGAAAACGGGATCCTGGGCGCAGCGGGCCATCAGCAAGATTTACTCACTCTTCAGCCAAGGATGTTGGGATACTCCAAGAGACTTGAACATGGAGCTGATTGCCATTATTTCCCTTGACCTTCAGGGCTCCAAAATGCACCACTGGTTCTGGAGGAAGCCAGGGTGAAATGGCATTTGTCCTAACACAACAGGAAACCAAAACAGCTGTTTCAGACTGTCTGCCATGTAGCAAGCCAGTGTAGAGACAAGCCACACCAAGAGAGGTCCTGAGAAACTCTACAATCCTGCGCCATGAGGAAGAATATTAAAGCAGTTCTTCTAAGATGACTTTTTAATTGCAAAATGATCGCAGCCCAGCATCTCTACCTCTTGGTGTTTAGGGAAATATCTACAAAGTGTTTGTGTGTCCTAGGAGAATGGCTGGTACATAATTGCAAATTATTACCACTTGGGCAGGTCCCGCTGACAGCATTCTCTCCCAGCAGGCCGGCAATCAGAGACCTGTTTGCCATCCGGGGTTTTACGCAGTGGGCAACCTTTTTTCTTTATTCCTGGATAGAATGGAAATTAGTGGCTTATGCCTCTCCTTTTTACTTTCATGGACCATTTATCATATCAAAGCCCATTTGTCTGGGCACCAGCCTAACCCAATTAGGTAAACAGAGTTCTTTAAGGAACCCACAGCTGTTAGCAAGACAGAAGAAATTCACAAAACACAGAGCTTCGTGGCAGCAGCTGCATCTTAAACAGCTTTCAAAAATGTGGCAAAATTAGTTTAAGGAAAGGTTTTCAGGGGAAGTTTTTTGATGCTTACTTTACAATGGAAATTGAATCCCAAATTCCTCGTGAGGTCATAGAATCCTTGCAAACATTGGCCCTGCCCTGCTCCCTGACCCCTCCATGCCTGCATCTGCCTGTCCTCTCTCAGGTCCTCAGCTTCACTTGGGCTATCCCCCGCCTTCACCCAGAAAATTCGGTTTAAATTCTCCTTTCTTAGAATCTACCAGCTATTGCAGGGAAACATGAAAGCACAAGATGGCTATACTTTTGTTTAGGGTATATATGTGTGTGTGGTCAGGGGGTCATTTCTGGTGGCTATTAAGTCCAAGTCAGCAAGATTTCGGTGCAAGCACATCCGGTCGGGCTCAGTATAAATGACTGATACAGCCAAGTTCAGAGCTGGCCAGGGTAAATGACATATGCAGCTGAGGTCGTTCCTGGCACATGGCCACTATTGTGTGCTTTGGTATAAGTGCAGACTAAGTAGCCGGGGATTGCTGGGAGCCTGGGCGGGCTACAGGCCTGAGCAGCTGAGGACAAAGGCACATTCAGATATTACTGTGATTCTCTTCTCTTCTTTGGGTTACCTGGGTCTCTTGTTTGGGCTGCCTGAGTCACAAGTGAACCTCTCCATCCAAACTGGTGACAAGACACCTGTGCAGCCACCTCCTGCTGCGCTGTTACAGCTCACTGTATTGCTTTTCCCTTCTAAGACAAGTCAAGTTAGCACCTGTTCCTGTGACGGTCTCTCACGAGTCTCCACCATAAGGATGTCAGCCGAGTGGGGGCAAAGAAGAGTCTGTTTGGTCACTGGACCTACAGTGTCCCATGTGAAGCTTGCACTCAGCTTATATTTGTGAATGAGACTGAATATACAACTGTCTACTTTATGGACCACCTCTGTTATTCCTCAGTACACCTGGGACTTGGCATAAATCATTCTATTAAACAAAAAAAGATAAATAAAGGAAACCAGTTCAAAGAGTAGACACAATTTGCCTGAGATGGCGCAGCTAATAAGTAATAGGCAAAATATAAATTCACATATAACTTGAAAACCATGATTTTCCTTTTAAATTGGTGCCAGGCTCCATGCCATATGCATTCCATTCATTATTTCATTTAATCCTCAAAAAAAAAAAAAAAAAAAAAAAAACCCTCAAGGTAAGCATATCCATTTTCCAAGTGGGGAAACTGCAATTCACAGAGGTTACGTAATCCTGCCCAGAGTCACACGGCTACGAAAGGGCAGCGTTCCCAAACCCAGACACCACACTATCTATGTTGCCTTTGTTCCCACGTCATACTATCACAGCCACTGTCCCGATTTCCTCCCACTCAGTTGTGAAGCTTTTCTCTGGAGGGCGACCACAAGGTAGGATAGAAGGTCTAGAGATAGAAGATACACAGGTCTAGAAGACAGAAGGTCTAGAGATAGATAGAGGGCCTGGGGTCTAGAAGGCACCTGACGGAGAGCTTTGCTCAGGTGAGTCCATCAGTCAGACAGTAAGCAGATGAACCTAAACTGCAGGAAGCAGGACGTGGATCACTTACAGAACCAGAGAGCCAGGGTTGCCAGCAGGAAGCTACAGGAAGTCTGCAAGCTGCAGTGAGCTTGGCTAGTGAGTAGGTAGGGAAACAGGAGACCGGTGAATGGAGCTCTGTGAACAGTGCCCTTTCAAGGCTTATGCTTCCAGCTTCCCCCTGGGGTGGCAGATTGCCTGGTATAAGAAAAACACACACACACACAGGGACCCGCCTACATGATACTGGTGTAGACCACTAGGTTTTATCATAGGCAACAGCTGGGGCGCCCTTGGGTTTGGGTCAGGGAGGTAGAGAGCAAGCATCTGTATAGCAAAGCACTGCATGTTTTAACCAGGCCAAAGGTGGCAGGGCGCCAGAGCTCGCAGAGTTTGTGTCAGACCTAAACATGGGTGATGGGCAGCACCTGTATGACACAAAGTTACAGCAGCTGTCTTGTGCTTATGTCCGGGATTATTATTATTATTATTTTTATTCCTAGGGATCCAACTCAGGACCTTCACACTGATCTATACTCCTAGCCCTAATTTTATTTTTGGTTTTGAGACAGGGTCTTGCTAAGCCACTAAGTTGTTCAGTCTGGGTTCAAACTTGTGATTCCCCCCGCCTTGGCCTCCCAGAGTTCGGAGGTTACAGGTCAGCGCTGGGGATTGTTTCACAAATCTAAGACTGTGTTCAGCCGCTGCTACAGGGAAGAGAAAGCAGGCTCCTCTCCAGATTCGGCCAAGTCAACAGGGAGCCCTGGTGGCTGAGCAGTCAGGGATGGTGGGTAGAAAACTTTGAAGGGTGGGGATTCCTGCTAGAATGGCTGAGTGTGCCAAAGACAGGGATGGATCCGAAGGCAAGGCCTGGGGGAGAAGAGGAGCCTGACTAAATTTGGTCAAGCAGGGACTTGGTTAGGTCCTGCAGTGAACCAGGCAGGCAATTCTTTGAGTCTAAATAAAGTGACAGTTGGATGTCTGTGGTGCCTCTGCAGAGCCTCCCTAACTGTCTGGCTTGCTTCCATCCCTTCACCCCTCCACCCCTCTCCCTCTCATCTGTAGGTGACCAAGTATTAGACGGTGGAGGAGGTGGCAGTGGAGAGGGGAAAGTTGAGAGGAGCCACGGCAGCCTTAGTGAGCAGTGAGCTCCAGGACCCACCCAACATAGTCTGCTCGCCCTTGGAGGGAACTTGAGGCAGCCACCACAGGGCTTGCCATCTCCCTTGATACCTGGCTGTCTCTCCTGGCTGTCGCAGCTCGGATGCCTCCTCTAATGCTGCTGTGCCACCGAGATTCAGGCAGCACCTTGACTTTTGCTGTGTGGTGGAGAATTAGCTTGCAGGAGCGGGGAGGGTAGCACAGCTCCTGCTCTCTGTGTAGACACACCCATGAGCAGTCATGAGATTAGCTGAGGCTTGAATGTCTTAAAAGAGCATGATTATTTTTAAGGAATACTTACTGCCTACCTGTAAGGATCCGTTAGGTTCCTGCTGTACCCCAGGAAGGATCGGCCGTGAGAATGAGGAACAACTAGACAAGAGACAAAAAGCTGGGGTGAGGTGGAGGTCCTCCCTCTTCTGAGCAGAGAAGGGGAATTACCCAAGAACAGTAGAGCATTTATTTTATACCCTGGAGAGGGTGATTAATTTCAGCGTCTCTGCCCAACAATCAGTTAAAAAGCTACAACGGAGTGTTTACATACTTCAAGGAGCCCCACAGGCTGGCTTCGTCCTACATGAGTAATTACTTTCCAGCTTCAGCTGCTCCCAACACCTACCCAAAACTGTTCTAAGAAATTTTTTGTTACTCATTTGGAGTGTTTTTTTATTTTGTTTGGTTGTTTTGTGCTTTCTTGACGTAGGGCCTCAGTATATAGTCCTGGCTAGTCTTATACTCACTTAGTAGCATGAGCTGAGCTTGAACTTGAGATCCTCCTGCCTCAACCTCCTGAATGCTGGGACTGTAGGCATGGGCCACCGTACATGGCTTATGTTCTAAGAATTTTATACACATGAACAAAGTAGTAGGAGGTATAGTAGGTCCTGCACTAGGCTCATTTGAGGAGACTTAGATTATCTCATTCAAAGTCATAAAGAAATGAAGAAGTGATGCTAGCACTGGACTCAGAGCTGGTTCACACTACACTGCGCAGTGCGCCTTGGAGGCATTGTGGCTTCTACCACAGGACCCGTGCCGAAGGGTCACTCACAATGGGCAGTGAGGTCAGAGTGTTCACTTCCACCTGGAGATTAGAAAAGCAGGAAAACCCATGTAGCATGATCATAAAACATAAGGGAGTAGTGGTTGACCATGGTAGGCAGTAGGGAAACTGAGCCATCTGTCACAGCTAAGGTCTCCAAAGCTCACTGTGTTGGAAAATACATTTGTTTCCTCCAGTGAGATGTTTCCCTGACCTCCCTGTAAGTGCAACTCATCTAGGACTCCTAGTAAAGGGCAGGTTCTGGCTCAATAGGTTGGGATGGAGGCCTGAGATTCTACACGTCCCTGAGCTCCCAGCTGATGCTGAGGCCCTTGATCCAGAGACCACACTTGGACAAATGCATCTCTTAGCAGGGGTCCTTGAACTGTGGCCCCTGAGCTACAGCACCAGAATTACCTGTGGGTTTGTTAGAAATTCAGGTTCTAGAGCCCTGAACCAGATTTATCTTTAGTTTAAGCTATAAAGTTGTCAAATATATGAGATATGTACACTGTATGCTTACTATTTGATAGCTCTGTAGTAAGACACAAACTTAACTCCAATAAACACTTCTAAAATCTAAATGTAACATAATAAAAATCAAATCTGCTGAACATGTACCATTATACAGAAACACTTCACTGTTCAATTAACATGATCTCTGTGTTTATTAGATGGAAGGTTATAATTTCTCAATAATATTGCTGGCAAGGTTATTATCATAATTTCATGAGCCCTAACTTTAATTTCAATAGGAATTGAGATATTTGTTTCCATTACATCAAATTTGCCTCTGGATACCAGGAATCTGTTGACTAAATTGCAATGTTAGTCAAGACAGAATGGGCTAAGCAATAAATACATAAAGAGGAATTATCAGTGGTTTATTTTCATTTCAGGCTCATATTACTTGTCCATCACTGTGTGTGTGAGTGACTGGGGAGTTGACCATCATGAGAAGAAGTGTTTTGTTCCACTTAGATGTTCATGAGAGAGCTAAATGAGCTCAATCAACTTGGAACACAGTATCCTCAATCTGCAACTTTAGGATACTATGGCAGGAAAGAAAAGACGCTCCTGAAGAGGTCTTTCACTCTCCCAGCCTCACTTTTCATTGGACAGAACAAGTCTTATTGTTCTACCTTCCTTGCATAGCTGCAAGGGAAGCAAGGTAGAGTCATCTTCTATATGTCCAGGAAGAAAACAAGAAGTTAAGGAGCAATATTATTATTTTCACATGCAAGTGAAATATGTTGCCTTTGAATCTCCATAACCTTAATAATAAGGTATAAAGATGAATTTATAAGATTTCTATTAATCAGCATGTATCTTAAATTGCTATTCATGGAATATTTATTATGTACCTGGTAGTGATTATACCATTTTGCTTATGTATATCATCTTAGCTGGTACTAAAATAGCCTAATGAGTTGGTTCTATTATTTAATCAGCCAGTTTAATCTACAGGTAAGATCTGGGGCAGGATCTAAACACAGCTCCATCTGGTTCAGGAGTACTCAGGGCCAACCCCTGCAGAGTACTCCTCGGTAGCAATGCCAGTTCTTCTCATTCCTTTGGAGTTCCCTCTGGCTATATATTGTCTTTCTGTGGACTTCCTAGGTAATGAAAACCCTATTGACCAAGGATGGATGGAAATCTCTTCAAATCCTTCCTCAGTGACCTGCCTTGGGTGCAGAAGTTTAGGCAGTACAGACTCTGTGAGCTCCATTCCCTGCATATATTATTAGTAAAACACACACACAGATCGCCCCACCCCAAGGGTTACCGTAGGCTTAAGACCTCAATGCTGACCCATTGTCACCATCTCTTCTGTCCTAGAGAGAAAAGCTAGAAAAGCAATCATCTTTGGACACACAAGGAAAATACATGGAGGAAATATTTAGCAGTTTGCAGACTTGGAATGGAAAAAAGAAGGATTCTTCTTTCCTTCCTGGGCTACCTGGAATTTCAGAGAAACTAACACACCGCATATGTCCTACCATTTTTTTTTCTCAGGTTCTGGCACTATTTCTATTCCCTTCCCACTTGCATGAGTCTTTTCCACATCTGTTTTACTTTCAATATCTGGTAAATCACTTTCAACCACTTTTTAAAATAGGTACACTATATATTGCAATAAGGATTCTGAAGTCATCTACACACACACACACACACACACACACAAACACACACACACGCAACAATACAATGGATACTTGTCACCTGGAAGCTGGATCCCCATGCAGTGAGAAATGGACCCCTCATCCCATGGTCCTTCGTTCTTTTGTGCCCTTGATAAAAGAATTCATTCAGATACATAGGCAGTCATACAGAATTACAGGTAAAGTTTGTTGTAAAGTAGATATAAAGTTACGTCTTCAAACAAGAAGGTGGGTAGTGTCATGAAGTGTGAATCTGGATATCTTTTTATGCACACAAGAGTTACTCCTGGGGTCCAGAAACATAGGTTAATCATGATGTTCATTAACATTTCATTTAGAAGATACTTTAACATTGCAAAATGTCTTCCTTTCCTTTTAGATGGTCACTGTTGCCTCAAGGGCTTTAATTATGTAAGAAAGTCATGAAAGAAATGTATGAAAGTAAAGTTCTTCATTTAAACCTGGCCCCATACCTCGACAGGAGGCTCTTTAAAGAATATTTTCTTTCCTAACATCACTGGGCTGTAGGCTATGGCAGCCAAAAATGCTGTATGACTTGTTCTAGAAATACAGGCAGCATGTCTTTGAGTCTGAAACCTAATATATGATTATAGATGTATGCTAAAATGAGGCCTTTGTTTCTTAACCTTCTTTGGACTTTGGACACCATGACAGTTCCTCAAAGGTCGATATAGGGACAACATTCTCCTCAACAGAAAGGAGAAGATTTGTCCCTGATTGGAGTGAGTTGCCCCTCCAGTTCAAAGAGCTGCTCCCTCCCTGTAAAAACTACATATAGGCTCTGACACCTGGCTTCTTTGGGGTCATGTGCTCTTTCCTCTGGCCCACTCCCGTGCTGATGAATGTGTGCTTGCTAATAATCCAGTGCTTTCACTTCCACTTTTGTGTCCCACTCAAAATTTTGTTCAGGATACCAAGAACCAAGGGACGTTACAGACCCATTCCCAACAGCATATTAATTACCTGTCTAACATACTTACAAAAGTAGTTATTAAAAAGTATAAAGCATGCTGAATAAGGCACACATATCTTAGAATGGATACTGACATGGGAGGGAAATGGTTTTCATTCGAAGAGTTGGTTCTCAGTTCTTTGCCTCTGCATGTTCATCTGCAAAAATAAATAACAAACAATAAAAGCTACCTCCAAGGGTAGTTATGAGGATTAAATAAACCCAGCCGTATAAAAGCAATGCACACAATGTCCTGTGATGCCTACGACACAGATCCTCAAGCACAAGTTACTGCCTGTGGTGGGGTGGTGTTATTATTCTTATCTTTCATTTAGCGCCAGGAATGTGGCATGAGGCGACTTTTGCTGAGGGTTGAGGGAAGGAAAACTAGCAACCCTAGGGCTTCCCTGGCAGAAAAGGATGCTATCAGAAACACATTTCTACCTGCGTGAAATAGGACTTCCATTTATCTGCTCGGCAAGGTTGGAGGAGGACTCACCTTTTAGAAAGTATAAATAATCTCATTTCCTGTAGGGGTAAACAAATTGGCCTAGTTGCTGCCCAGCATCTATTTGGGGAACAAAATGTTACTTTGAACTATATAGAAAGACAAATAACATTCACAGAAATATGTTCTGCTTTTCATCTCTGCCTCTGAAGCATATCTGTGCTCTGGATGACGAAGTTGGAAGGAAATCCAATCAGACAACCAGAGCTCTTTCCCAGAAAGATGACTCAGCCCCCCACTGAACATCCTGCCAATGTTTGTCTGTAAGGACAGCGTCCTTTGAGAGCCTCTGGCTAAGCATCTGCTTCATGCGCTATGTTTTGGTTCCATGTTGATGGCATTGAAACAGGTTCATTTTGTACGCGCAGTCGTGCAAAAGTTCATAAAGCCAGAGGCCATGCATAGATCCTATGTGTATGAATATGTATGTGCTGATATGCTTGATATTTGTGGACTTGTAACCTGGCCAGATTCCAGCAAATGGAACATAGCCCACTTCCCACACAGAGAACTCAGCATCCTTCAGAGACCCCAAGGTGCCACCACTAACTCACCCATCTTTGACTTACTCCAGTAACTTGTGTCCACTCTGCTATCTTCCCCAGCTCTGCCTTTACCCTTCCCTTGTCGTATTATCCCCCACCCATTCTTCAACCAAATCCAGCTTCTGCATGACTCACCAAGGGCTTTTATTCTTCTATGCCTGCCCTTCTTCTGAAGACGATCACTCTCACTTTGGGCCGTGAAAACTCTTCCTGCTTAAAGCCCACTTGAAATGTTTCTTCGCTTCAGTATTCAGTTAACAATTATGTTTGACCACCTGAGGGCTGGGGCGACACTGGGCAAAAGAGACAGTGTGATTTTGCTGAGGGGAAGCAGAAGATGAAGGAAAATGAAGTAGGTAGTACATTATCCAGTAATGAGTGCTTGGAGGAAAAATAACACAAGTGAAAGAAAAAGAAATAGCAGCACAGATACTCCTTGACATTTTTTCAGTCATATGCACAAATTTGTTTTTATTATCAAGTTTACAGTTACAATTTAGATATACATAATGATCATATACACCATAAGGAATTTGTACGTGTACATAATGTATCTTGGGTCCTCTTATTTTTTTTTGTTTTTGTTGTTTGTTTTTCTCCGGTACCAGGAACCGAACTTACGACCTTGTGCTTGCCAGGCAGGCACTTTTGCCGCTGAGTTAAATCCCCAGCCCGGGTCCTCTTATTTTTTCATTCCCCTCCCTTCAACCCCTCTTCCTCTCCTAATTATTTACAAAGCTTTGTTTCCATTTTATCCTTCTTTTCTCATTTTTCCTCTTCCTTTCCTCCTCCCTCCTCCCTAGTTTCCCTTTCTTTTTGAACAATTTCTTCCTATTTCACAATATCTATTGTACATTTTGGTTCTTATTTACACTTTCAGTTTCTCACACCAGAGAGACAATATGATATTTACATGTGTGTCTGATTTACTCCACTTGACTTATGATGGAATTCTAGCCTGGTAACTCATCATTTATTGAAATTATCGTAAGTCAAAAGTGTATTTAATACTCCTGACTTACCGAGCACCATGGGCTCACAACACAGTCCGCTGTAAAGAATAAGTTGTGTACTTTGGCGGTGTAAAGGATAGAGAACTGTGGCTCACTGCCTCTGCCTAGCAGTGACAGCAACTTACCTGTTATCACAGGCCCCGCAGAAGATCAGAATTCAGAGTCTGCTTTCTCCTGAATGCACATAACTTTTCTGCCACCATAAAAACAAAACATAGTAAATCAAACCATGGTTAAGTCAGGGACCATCTGGATTGTAGTTACTGTTTTGGGTAGCAGCATCAGGCTTCTCTATGAAATTCTCCTTTATCCTGGGAGGTAACAAGTCATCCTTCCCCAGTGTCCCTATCCATGGCTCCTAGGTAGTTCCATCCAGAGGGCCTTGTGCACCTGTACTCTCCACCAGTGCAGACCAAGGACATCATGGAGATGAAAAGAAGTCTGTGGCCAACCATCAGAGGAAAGTTGGGGCAGCCAAAGTCAAGATGGTTCCTTTACAGCTGGATTTTTTGGACTTTTCATGTGAATACAGATTACATATCCACAAGAGGAACTATCAAATGTCCCTTGCCCCAATAGACTTGATCACTATGATCTCCCACGAGTTATTCCGCAGGTCTAGGTTGCTTGAAACACATTTTGGGAAGCACTGAATTTTTCGTGCCAGAATATGAGCTCTTTCAGCACTGGTATGACACCTAATCCTTACATCCAACATATTCCTCACCAGCACTTAGCGTGCAGTAAGCAGGAGGAATACATGTGCTGCTAATAGCTACTTGGTTTTGGCTCAACCAAAAGACTTATTTTAAATTCCAAATCTCTCAGTGATCTGATAGAGAATGGAAAGGAACAGGGAACCTTGGTGATGCTGGGGGAGGAGATCTGAATTTAAACTTTTGTTTGTTTAAAAAAAAAAAAAAAAGAGGCTGGCCTCAGATCTCTATCCCTTCCAAAATACCCTAAGTAGACACCTTTAGGAATTTTCCCCAAAGCCTAAGTATAAACTGACAGATTTGATGCTCTTTGTGGAGGACTCATATCCTGTTTGTCAGAGGGCTCAAGGATAGGAAGTTTAGAAATGACCATCCTTAGGTTGCCCTACTATGGGAGTCAATAGCCATACATGGCTATTTAAATTTTAATTAACCATGAACAAAATTTAGTTGCTCAGTCACACCGGCTCCATTTCCAGTGCTCAGAAGCTGTGTGTGGCTAGTGGCTGGCGTACTAGCACAGATGTATAGCATGTCTACCATTGCACTGTTACATTGGAATTTTAGGCTAAAACATTACCTACACCATCACATCTTTTAGGTGACACCAGGACAATTTACATGCATATCTGGATTTCCTCTGAAGACTTCAAACATTGACCGCTGGTGTCTTTCCCTAGTAAGACTCATTCGTGCCTATTCTGAGACAATCAGCTACAGAACAAATGTGAACCCAGAGACTAGCAGCAATCCGGTGGTGTCCTTTCCTAAAAAGTCTATCCAACTGTCTGTCTGCCCATGTGGTGCTGCTCACTGTCACAGTTACACCAGGAGTGGTTGCACATCATGGGGCGATTCCTCAGAGCACAGATGGCGAGCTCACTACTGTGACGGCAGAGTGTGCTCACAATGAAGCTCCATGGTAGCTAAGCAATGACGCCTGGATTTACGGACATACATGGGTTACTACCTCCCCTCACTGGCTATGAAGGCCAATGAATTTAACTTTGGGTAGAGTTACAAGTTTCTGATAGGTGGACCTATTCCTAGACAGGGTCTCTAAAGGCCCCCACAGCAGAGAAACTTGACTCACCCCGTCCATGGTTGCAGATTTGCTGACTTCAGGTCACAGAAGAGGAACTTTCAGGATGCATCAGTAAGAGGAATAGAGATTTACTAGGCAGAATTTTTAAAATATGCACTCAGAGAAACAGAGTGTAGGTCTATTTTCTTTCTTTCTCTGTCTGTTTCTCTGTCTCTGTCTGTCTCTCTCTCTCTTTCTTTCTTTGAGACAGGGTCTCACTTTGTAGTGCAGGCTGCCCTTGAACTCACTATGTAGCCCAAGCTGGCCTTGAACTCACTATGTAGCCCAGAGGGAGCTAGGGGCTTGTGGCCTGAAGCTGGGTATACGTCTGGGGATTCGGAGTTGTCCCTAAGATGGGTTATCTAGGATGTATACACTGAGGATGGGAATTATTTGGGGCTAGTACAATTTATAGGTGAAAGACCTAGGGTCCCACTTGTAGGTTCATTGTCTCTAAGGCCCTTTAGAATTGTTCCTGCAAGAGAAAAAAAAGCTTTAGTACTTTTGTGTGCAGAAGCTGCAGTTTTTCTCAAAAGTACATTTTCAATATTGCAATTTGTGATGTCTCCTTTCTATTTATTTCTTCTACCCTTCCTTAGAGCCAAGGCTACAGTGAGGCCACAGAAGGTGAATTCCCTATAGAGCAGAGTCTGTTTCTCCCGCAGACACAGAGCTACTCATATGCACTGGAAAATCTCAAGTCAACTTCACAACTAATGTTCATGCTAATTGAGAGCGGGCTGTTTCTTATTGTGAGACACTCTTACTCCAGGATGTGCCCTGTAGGCTAGCCTTCATTTAGATTAGAAACTTTCCAGCATCATTATCACTGGTAATTAAGCCTCCTTGATTGCTCTATCACACAAAGGCAACGCCACAGTAAAGGAGTCAAACATAATCTTTGCCCATGATGAGAACCAACAGTGCCATAAATGTGTGAATGATGCTCTCCCATACCCAAGGCCTGTGTTTGGCTGACCCGGCTGATGGATACTCAAAGAGATTTAAGGCATCTTGATACGCAAGCATGGGTCTGTGTTATTGTTACACCATGAAGTTGAACAAGAAATCTCAATCAGAACATCCAGAAAGAAATTTCTAACCTTTACATGTGGTAACCCACTGGCAATTCCAGAAGTACTTTTTCCTATAATGATGTAGGTGCTGTTTTCCCCTCTTCAAAGTGAAGGCTCAGCAAAATTACTCAGAAGTCTAGTGGTAAATGCTTGGGTCCCACTGTGTCACTGGCCCTGAGCTGTGGCCCGTGTACCTGAAGTGCTGAATCAGTGCCTGGGGATTCTTGGGTGGACTACCGGATACCGAGTCCCTTGAGGGCAAGGCCAGCTATCTCTTCGCTGTATCTCCAATACTCAACGAGATGCCTGGCCAGGATCAGCACTCTCCAGAGCTGGTGACCCAGACTCCCAAGGTCTTAGGGACTGATGAACCTGGAATCTGTCCACATCAGCCACTGATTACAAAGCAGTGCATTCAATGTCACTCGAGGCTCTCCTGGACTACTTGCCCCCATTGTCAGCTCCCAAGACCAGAAAATAAATTCCTGGTTCTCATGCTACCAGGAATGGTAACCCCTGGTCCTCAGTAGGCATTCTTTCCTCTCCTTTCTGGGGCTGCCCCATCACCAAGTATTAGAGGAGGTGGCCATTTCTTCTCAACATTAAATAGCTCCCTTTGGAGCTCTTAAATCAGGGTCTTCTGTCTTTACATCCAGGATCACTTAGAAGCATCCTTAGAAATGCATTTTCCGGGGTGATTTTCCACTAGGAATAAGAACCTGTAGGGAAGAGCAGAGTGTGTGGTGCAGGCCTGTAATCCCAGCACTCAGGAGGCTGAGGCAGGAGGATCAATGTGAGTTCAAGAACAGCCTGGGCTACATAGTGAGTTCAAGGCCAGTTTGGGCTACATAGTGAGTTCAAGGGCAGCCTACGCTACAAAGCAAGACCCTGTCTCAAAGGAAGAAAGAAAGGGAG